CCCTGCGCGCTTGGGGGCTCGCTCCCCGCCGCCGTCGGCAGCCCCGCGGCCTGGCCTAATCCCGCCCTCGGGCTGCGGCCCCGGCTGCTTTGTGTGTCCGCTTTCACCTCGCAGCAGCATGACTCTGCCTGCACCCGTGTAACGCCAGGCCCCCGTCAGGCATTGCTAGTGCCGGGGAGTGTTGTCGCTCCTGAGTTCTTGAGTCAGAAAACGGGACACCAGCTGTGCAATTTAAAAAAAAAAAAAAAAAAGAAAAAAAAAAGCATGCGTGGAAACAAAGCCAGCAACAATGTGTTTGTTCATGGTTTACTGTGTCTTCCTCTGTGCACTGTTCACATCTGCCCTTCTTTCCTTGAACTACAGGAATGCCTTTTTATTTAAATGTAAGTTCAGGTGGTTGTAAGTCATTTCAGAAGGTGGGATTTTAATTGAGGGGAAGAGCATTAACCTTCTGAACCCCATGTCACTCCATGTAATAAATCCAGTTTAGGATAAATGCATCTTCAAAGGCAAGCTCTTCATTTTTTTCCTGTCAGGTTCTGTTGTAGTGACAGGTAAACCTGATGAAGGCTATTTTTTTGGTTGGAGGTTTTGTTTTCTGAGTAACAGAAATTTCTGTTTTAAAACTAAGGCAAACTAAGATATCCAATATTGACAATTTAAGTACTGAAGATGTGAAGTCTCTGACAGGACTGCCAGCCCTTTGGTTTTGCACCATTAAATGTTCTCTGCCATTAAAAGTTTAACTCAGTGCCCCATGTTTCTAGTATTGTTTGGAGTAATGGAGGGTAGCGTAATACTTTTATGCAGACATCTCAAACTTACCATGCTGCTCTGAGGTAGAGGGCAGGAGATGTAACCACTTACACCAGCCAGTGCCAACCCCTCGGAGTGTTTTGTTTCCCTTCCCCGGCCACCTTCCGAGCAGATCCAGGGAACTGTGTTTGCTTTTGAAAAGCTCCTTAGGCCTTTGAGAAACTAATGGATGTTGTCAGGTATTTTGAGAGAGGTGAGTGTTGTAGAGGTATTCTTGCAAGAGGCTGGAGTCTCTTTAATTTGCAGCTACGGAAAATAATGAGATGAAACTGTTCAGAATCCTGAATGGTGCTGAAAAAGCATATTGACTGGGGTCGCAGTGAGTTTTAGCTAAAACCTTTGAGTTTTAGGGAGAACAGTGATCAGCTGTTGACCTCCTTGCAGGGGCAAAAAGCCTGATAAAAAACCTGATACTTCCTTACCTCTCTTACATTGCTTAAATTTCCTGGTTTTACTTGATTGTGCTTTAAGAGCTGACAAAGAGTAAACTTGTAAGCTCATAAAATTAGTCTTTGAATGAGTGACGTAAGGTTGGAGAAGGTACTGCTTTTCTGAAATCTCTCGTATGTTCTTGTGGCCTCCCTTTTTACTGCTGAGCCCCTCAGAGCTCCCCTGATGCTTCTTACAAATTACCCACGAGGAAACATCGAAATTTACCTTTCCTTGGCATGTTAGCAAAGCTGTCTTTGTTTTTGCGTTAGAAGGAGGAGCAGGATGGACGTTCTGCGGCCCACCCTAATAAGGATTGGGGGGCGAGTATACAGGAAGAATCTCATCCAAGAGCAGGCCTACCAGCACGAGGAGGAGGAGGATTTCTGTGCAGGTAAAGAGTGCTGGGCGAGGGGTGAGTGTGGTGCTGTCAGGACATGCTACAGGTGAAAGCAGAGGCACCAGGGATGCCTAGGGACCTCCTGGTGTCGTCTCTGATGTCTTTATGTGCACAAAGACCTGCCCGTGTGGGGCAGTGAGGTGTTGAAAGGGAGAAAAATATTTTGCGTTGGTCTCTGATGATCCTGCTGACCAAAGAGGGGACGTAATCCAGATTACCTAATGGGTGGCTGTGCTTCTGACTGTCGGTTATGTTTATTGGCTGTGAAAGATCTCCAGTAAAGAGGGACAAAAATGAGCTCCATAGATCTGTTTTCCCCATGTTCCTCAAGGGCCTTTCTTTTTGGTAGTGTGATTATTTGCATATATGGCAGGAGTGGAAGCTGCTCACTAAAGATCCTCTTGCAATGTTTGCTCCTTGAAGAATTGGCATCATATAATGTGGCTTTTGGGGGCAAAATTCTTCCTGTTCTGATGTATTTTACTTCATCTTTCTGCTTGTATGTTGTAGTTCTGCATGAGTTATGGGCACACAAAAGCTCAGCTGTTATTTCTCAAATGGAAAGGGTTGTGGCTATTGCATCCTGTTTCTCCCTCCACCCTGCCTTTCAGTGGATTGAACAAATCTTTAACAAGCCGCTTGCCACCCAAATTCATCCCTGTTTGTGTTGGAGAGGAGATAGAAACTATGGCCTCTTTCTGGAAGTCATGTTTGGTCCTAACATGCAAGACTGAATGGCCCATGATGAAAGGTGCATCAATTCCTCCGTGCCACAGCAGTGAGAATTTCTCTGTTTGTCCAAAACACTGAACCCTTGAACCAATACTATCCTCACTTTTTATTTATATTCTTCTGTGACTTTAAATTCCTGCTCAGGGCCTCTGAATGGGCTGGTGGCTTCCACCCAGCCAGGAGAAGAAACCATTCCCACTGAGTACTTGCACAACTTCCAGCCAAGAGGAAACCTGGGCTGCAAGTACTGCTTTCCTACACTTCCCAGCCTGGCAGATTTAGAAGCAGTCATTATGTTTTCCGGAGCTGGTAGTAAGGTGAAATAAAAAGCAGTTAGCTGCAGTGGAGGGGAGTCCATTTATTGAACCTTGGGAGAAGGCAGCTGTGAGACTAGTGTCCTACAAAAAGCGCTGCCGAACTTTACAGAGGTTGTACAAGGTCTGTTGGTTTTTTTCTGCTAGGCTCCAGTGACTGTGCAGACGAACCCTGTGATGCCTTTGTGGTGGACGAGACTGAGAAAGGCTTCCAGTGCAGAGTGGAGGTTCCCAGCCCATTATACAAGTGAGCCTGTGTGTTTCTGGTTTATTTGAGTTGTTGCTGGCTGAGGAAGCGGTTGAGTGCAGATTTTTTTTTTTTTTGAGGTCAGGGTAAGCGCCAGATCTCCGAAATTTATTCTGTTTTGTGGATGTGGATGTGGATTTTAATGTTTGGAAAAAGCAGATTGGCAAAGCCTTTCTAGTGCAGTTGTGCCACGGTTGACTCCTTGCCTTCCCTGTGACAGGGACAGCAGGTGGTGCTTTCTTGCTGGCAGGAGAGTTTTTGAGCATCTCTTCCCTTGAACATAAAAGCGTCAGGGAGGGTGGAAGAAGGGGAGGAAGAACTGGGGTGAGCAGCCTGGCAGGGGGAGTTTGTGAAAGCTTTGAGAGAAAGCACACACGGCTGCAATTGACTGTTGACTCCAATCTGATGGTTACTGGGAAGCCTGTAGTGTTCAAAGCTTTATCTAGTTATTTTTGACAATTTTATTGGATGAATAACTGAAATGTAGAGAAGGAAAAGCGTTCTGTTATGTATTTGGATGCTGGCTAATGACTACCTTGAGCAAAACAAAAAGCAGAAAAAGAGCCCTTAGTTCTTTGTCAGCTAGGGTAATGGGGAAAAGGGGTAACCCAGCTGCCAAGTAAGCTGTGGCAGGGTGTGCTGGACAGAGCTGTCATGGACCGACCAATTTACTTTAGCTTAAGCCAGTTGTGAGCCACAGCTCAACATCATCCTGTGGTCCTGGGCTGGTCACGCACAGGGTCCTGGGAGTAGCCTCTGTGCCTGGATCGGGTCCTGCCCGTGGACCTGAGTGCTGCATCGCTGCATCCCTCGAACACGGAGACAGCACGTCTGGGGGGACCCAGCTGCCAGGGGCCAGCTCGGAGCCTGCTTCATCTGCTGGCTGGACACACTTGATGGAGAGTGGCCCAGCAACACGGTGTGAGTGACTTTATTGCACTTTTACACCTCCAGGTACATCATTGGGAAGAAAGGAGAAACCAAGAAGAGACTAGAAACAGAGACTCGAACCTCCATCAGCATTCCTAAGCCTGGAGTGGAAGGAGAAATTGGTGAGTTTCATGTGCACAAAATGGGTGTTCTCTCTTTGGCTCTTTTATAGAGACAATTTGAGCAGGGATGGGGTATAGGAGGTGTTTTTCCTTCAATTCCTGCTTCTGACATGGCACTGATTCACTTTATGGCCCTGGGAAAATCACTTTACTTTTCCCCCAAGTTTATATTTTATGTCTATAAATCCTTATGAAGCAGTGTAAGGGGTTTTTTTTTGAAAAACAAATGTTTATTTTAAGCCTATGAGTAGTCTCACTGAAGTCACTTCTGGGCCTTAAATGACTGGCTTCAGAACTTTGGGCCTGAATATGTTGGATTTTTTTTGGTTGTGTTTTGTTTTTAAGATAATACCATTTATTTCCATTAATAAAAAACTGTAATATACATCCAGAAAAAGTTACCATGTTGCATATTTATGCACAGAATAAACTTCAGCATTTGCTTTAATATGAGAAGTGTCTTGATGATGTTGCTGCTTTTCTGGTGTTGTCACTTGATCCTGATGGTGAGAGCAGGCTTTCTTGTACCGTATGTTCCTTCTCATCACTTCCAGTGACTTAAAAAGAAAGGAGGCGTTGCTCGTAAGGCCTGGCCCATGCGAATTTCTGCCTGAGTGGCTATCCAGGGGGGCCCTTAGGCACGCTCCGGTGGTAATTGGCATGGTGTGGAGTTACCTTCGTGACAGAGCTGTGAGGATAAGTGACAGGGGGATCCAACTGTGATGCTGCACAGGAATGTGGCAGTACTTCTCAAGAAGTGGGTCTTGACTTCTTCCTGAGAACTGTGAAGGACTATTAGGAAGGTTGAGAGATGTTGAAAGCATATAATAATAGGAAGCCAAGAAAATTTTGCTCCTTGCAGTTCTTTGCTTTCAAGCTCAAGTGTTCTCTGTTTGGTGCCTTGAAGTGCATGCTAAAATGATATAGGTCATCTTGATCTTTGATAGATTTTCTTTTCTTTTTCACTTTGTCTGCCTTTATGAAAACTTGAAATAATGCTCCAGAAATCTGAAGAGCTGCTGAAATGATAGACTCTTAGTTATTGTTTTTTAGGCACTCAGCGCTGACTTTTTTGAGAGCAGAGGAATACTTTTGATGGCATCATCCTGTCTTTACAGAGGAAAATACAGCCGTGCCAGGCATTTTAAGTCAAGTAGGGAGTCTGGCAGGATTTCTCTGTGCATGGTCAGGGATTTTAATTCCTGACGCCTCTTCAGTGAGCCTGGGGCTAACAGTGGAGAGGTGCTGTTGTGCAGGTTTTTCTAATTCCCTCCTGGCATCTCCTGGGTGAAATGTTCTTACCTTCACAACGCCCTCCAATATTGATATTTTAAAGTGCACAGATAAGTATTGTGTAAAATCACGATCCATTTAATTACTCTTTATTTTGCCTGGGCGTGGGTGTCAGTAGTCTCACTGTAGCTTCACGGAAACCAGACAGGTATTGCTTTCTTTCCTTGTAGTGATTACAGGGCAGCATCGCAGCGGCGTCATCTCTGCCCGAACGCGGATCGATGTTCTCCTGGACAGCTTCCGAAAGAAGCAGCCCTTCACACACTTCCTGTCCATTGCTCTCAACCAGCCTGCCATCCAGGAGAAATTCCTGCAGTTCAAGGAGGAAGTGCTGGAGAAATGCTCAAAGGTAATGATCCACATGACAATTAAAATCAAGTAGAAGCCCTTCAGCAGGGTGCCATTTAATTTACTGAGATAACTTTTTGGCATTTACCTTGAAGGTCTTATTCTATTCTATTTCCTAGGAATGTGTTTTTATCAGGCCTTTTACTTAAGTTGCTGGATCTGCTCTGAATTTGTTGAGTGCTGTTGTGAAATCTTCTGAAAGTGAAATGGCTTACTTAGTAAATTGTTAGTAAAATATTTTTTGTTTTCCTTAGAGATTTTCCTCGGTGGGAGGATACTTAAGATTCAAAAGATGGTTGGGGTTTTTTGTCTTTAATAGGAAAGCCACTAAATAATGTAGTGGACCTTTCTACATTTTATATGGTTTCTACGTAACCATGAAACCGGGTAGGAATTCACAAGTTTGCTGCTGCTTCTATTTCACTTTTCTTTTGGTTACTGACAGCGAAGGAAGATGGGTGTCATTACTGGAGCTGAGCAAGAAATGACTTGGTAGCACAAGTAGTTACCATCCTGCAAATCTAATCGTTTCCCTTCTTCCCCATGAGACTCTCTGCTGACAGTCCCTCCTACTTAACTTCAGATCTTGCACTGAGAGCAGCAGGAAATAGTTAGGCATAGGGAAATGAGGAACAGAATGAAGTGAAAGCTGTGTATTCCCTGGTTTATTTTACATGCTTCTAGTTTGACAGAAGTGGTATGTCAATGCACAAGGCCAGGCTGAGGAGAGAGAATGGTATTATTAAATTGCCATGTCCTCTGAGTCTGCTGGCAGGACAGCTCTGGGCAAGGGGAAGTGTTCCTCTTTGTGGTTGCTGCAGGTTAGACTGAATAGACCCAGCAGGGGTTTGTGGGCTGATATTCTTACCTTTGTGTCCGTCACTTCTGCTTGTGCCTTTCAAAGGGGAAAATACAATCTGGCAGATAGCACAGCTTAAGAAGTTTATGTGGGTGTGAATTACCTGATATCTGGGGAGATAGGAGTCCTTGCTCAAGTTTTTGTGGTCACTTGCATGTCAATTGTCTCATCTCCAAGAGCAGAACTGAGCTGGCTTTGCAGTCTTGTCTTTCCTGGTCGTTCTGAGGTAAGTTCCTCTTCTCTGCCCAGCTGCCTATTTCCATAACACCTTAGGAGCTTTCTATCACTCAGGTTTCCACCTGATGTTAAATACAACTGAAATTGGCCAGCAGATCCAGGGATTAGCAACCAGTGCAATGCCACGAGCACCCTTTCCTTGGGCTAGGAGGATATCACTGGCTCAATTGTCTATCCCCATTAGGCAGTGGCAGCTACCTTTATTAAAGCTTACCTTTATTAAAGGAAAGCCCTGAAGACAGGGGTATGAAAACGTTAGCCTGAGAAAGCGTTAGCTGGACAGAGAATGCTGGATCTCAGGCTGGTGTCAGTGGTGGCCTGGCTCCCTCTGTTGGTTTCTAGTGCCAGTCCTTGTGTGGGGACACACCAAAATTAGAGGGAGAGAAGCAGCTCTTCGGGGGGCCAATAACTTCAGCTCAGGGCTCTGATAGTGGTTGTTCACTCTATTGGCCTTGGACTGAGAGCACTGCTTTCAGTCTGGTGTTTCTCACGCCCTTTACCCCCTCCTACCTGGGCTTTTGGTTGTTACAGTCCTTCCACTTGATCGTCCTCGTGATCTGGCCCTGCTCTGCTTGAAGCCTTAATATCCCAGACTCCTCTTATCCTCCCTCTAGCAGGTGCTGGGGATCTCTCTTGTCCCTTCCCATGGACAGCAAACCCAGCCCTGCCTGCTGTACGGGCAGTAACTTCAGTGTCATCCTGTATGTCTTGCTGGGTTCTGGCCTACAGGCTTCCTCGGTGTCAGGTGAGTCCATTCAGGGTCACATCTCTAAGATGTGGCCTCTTTTATTCATCTTTGTAGGTAATGCTGTCGTTCACGCTCTCATCCTGTGTCTTTATTCCTGCAACACACTGGCCTCACACAGGAGCACTCATTTTTCCTGCCTGCTGGTTTGGTTGCATCTCTGCAGCCCTCCACTGGCCCAGCCTCAGCTGGTGATCTTATTTGCTCTCCAGAACCCTCCTGATCTCTCTCTGTCACAGTGTTTGTCTCTTGCTCACTCTTAAATATCAGTTTGCATCCCTGGGCAGGCAGGGAGGTTTGCCATCCACTTAGAAACATGTTCATAAATTTATCTTGGTGCTTTCCCCAGTGTTGTCAGACACATTCAGAAGGAGCTGCCTGGGAACATCTACAAACCTCCACGTGCTCCTTGTCCTAGAAAGCTGCAGAAACCCAGGCTTGGTCAGAGGAGTGCCAAGACCACTGTTGGCCAGGGTAGTCACGTTAACTTTCCCTCCTCTTGCCTGACCTGTCTCTCCCACAGTTTTTGTTCTGTGTCTGGATGGCACTGAGTTCTGCGAGACTCTGCTTCATGGTCAGGGATCCACAGCGTGGGTGTGCATGTGGGAACGTGTTTCAACCGAGCAGCTACTTCTGGCGTTCAGTAACCTCAGACTTGAACTGTACTCAGACCCAGCACCCTGCATGAATCCTCCTGATGCCAGTAATATTTCTGAAAGAGTGCGGCACTCAAGACATGGCATGCCTTTTGCTGCTTCAGGGTCATCAAGGTGCTTTTGGGAATCTTCCAAAATAGTGGCAGCTGCCCTATGTCAGGACACATCTATATGGGTGGAGGCAGAAGGGCTGGGGCTGCAGCCCCTGCTCTCCGTGCTGTGTGGGCACAAGGTGACCTGGCTTGGAAGCTGCGGGGTCATGTTAGCACTGCTCGGTGCCTTGTGCCTCTCAGGAGGGCCTGAAATGTTCCTGGTATTGCTTACATCAGCTCTAGAGTTTCCATTTTTAGTTTGAAATGTGGAATTCGGTCAGTGGCAGGTATTTGGGGGTTTGCATATGCATAGCCTAGGAATATATGCTTGATTTTCTGCTCTTCTTTCTCGGTGTTAGCAAAATAGTTTCTAGATATATTGCTGCCTGTTAGTTCAAGGAGTATATTGCAGCCCCGTATGTCTCTCAATCACTCCACCAGCTGGTAATGCCACTCTAATACCACTTTATCTCCCAGCAGGGTCTGCTAGAAAGCACATCAGTAATGAAAAACAGTAATTCAAAACTGTGCCTCACAGAGCAATAAGAGAGCTTATAGATTTGTCCAAAGCAACGGGATTTCTCAGGATACTTGGAGAAATCTGAATAGGTTTCAGTGACAGAAGTGTTGTGCTTCTCTTCCTATTGCAATTTGCTGGTGCGAAACATTGCAGAATTAGGTAAACTCTGGTCTTTGAATGAAGCTCAGTAATAATGGTAAGGAAGGGAAAGGACCAGGTGTGCATGTGTGAGGATTTCTTCTGGCCATTGAGCATTTGTGAGGGACTCTATTTCTCTCTGAAGCAGTTACCATGACAACCATTCATTTATATTTTATAGAATAGGGTTATGTTGGTGGGTATATGCTTTCTAACTTTGTGTGTGTGTGTGTGTATCTTTAAGGCCTTTTATAAGATGAACCTTGTGTTGAAATACAGAACACTTCAGGTGTCATTCCCACTACTGTATGGTTAGGGCTGCCAGGCAATGAAGCAGGGCTGAGGAGAGACTCTTTTGAGGCTAATTTACTATAAATACGGGGAGGTGGCTCACCTGGACAGGCTCATTACTGATGTGGTACAGTGGGAGGTCGGGATGACCTTGGAAGTCTCCTTGCACAGTCATGTAAGTGTCAGAGTGAGGAGGACTGAAATGTCTGTCTGAGTATGCAGGTGGAAAAGGGAAGAGACTTTGCAGTAATATTGCCGTGAAAAATCACAGTTGGGTCTTTCAGAGCTGTGCAAACGCAGCATTTGCAGTCTTAACAGGCTGCAGATGTAGCACGGAAAAGAAATATGATTGCTGTAATATATAGCAACCTGTAAATATCAAACATTGCTAATGAGATATTATATCTCAGAGTGGAAGGGACAGAAAATGGGAGGGGTTTTTCAGCCTGCAGCTCTTCAGTCAGTTCTGAGGAAATGCTGTTTTTCTGTCTCGCTCCTTTGTTTGTGGATCAGGGTGGGAGAGGACATATAGCTGGCATGCAGTATCCTGCTATTAGGAAAAAAACCAAACCCATAAAGCTGTCTGCAAACATTGGAAGCTCTTAAGACAGTAGAGAGGATGCAGCCAGGGAGGAAGAGCTAGGGAGTTTGATCCTTTGCCTTGTCATGTAGAAGGCCTGACGTGTGTTGTGGCATGTGGTTTCCCTACTACAGGGCCTTAGATTTGGAGGAACAGCATGCTTGGGCTTTGCAAAAAGAGGTGAAGACTCCAGATAAAACCCTTTCTGTGTTCCTTCTAAAGGAGGGGAGCAAAGGTAGAAGTCTTAAGTAGCAGGAGGGAGGGAAAAAAATGAATTTTTAAGGCTGAGTGGAAATGAGTTGTTTTTTTGACCATGACAGTGTCAGGGGGAGGCATAAGCTAAAATGGACAGTCATCACATATGGATGGTGTGTAAAAGGGATATTCTTCTTGCATCACAGTGCATCCTTAGAGAACCCAAGTTTGAACAGTAAATTTTTAGAGAGATGGTAGAGTCTGTTTTATGTGTTTGTATTTGCCAGCAGGTTCCTGCCAATACGCTGCTTTCAGATTCCCTTGTAGAATATGGGGATTCCCTGCTGTGACGCCTCGCCTCCCCTAATCTGGTGCTCTGCTTTCACTAAGGCTGGCAGCCACCACTTGCCACAAGCCACCATGACGTGTGCTATGAGGAGTGCCCACCTTCCACTGCATGGGGGAGGAAACTTGGTGAAAGAGGAGCTTGTCACCAAGAGGCACTCGGAGAGCATGGCTGAGATCCCAGTGGATCCCTCTGCCCATCTCTGGTGTTGAATCTCACTCCTCTCTTCTGTTTTTATGGTTGTAGCTTACCTTGAGAGGGTTCCTTAGGTATTTGGAAGATGTCCATAAAGCCCCAAAAATCACAGTATTGACAGGATCACGTCTCTTGGGCTCGTTCCCCTGGAGGAGGATGTGATTTTTCTTTAGCAGTAGTTACGAACACATGCTTCTAGGTTCTGTGTGGCTGTTGTCTGGCCCTGCTGATCAGCCTGCAGAGGACTGATAGCACTCAACAGAGCAGCTTCCTGGGAGATTACACAGCAGTTGCTGATAGCATATTATAATTTGGGATAAGAATAAGTGGGTTCAAGCTATTTTGCATCTCAGCAAGCAGCATCCAGCCATGAAGGGCTGCTGAGACACTGGCAGAAACATTGCCTGTTCCAGGGAGAGCTACCTCTAACATAGCATTTATTTTATGCATGGGAGAAGTGGGATCTGCTGGCCTGTGAAAGAGTAAGGGTGTAAGCGGGGTTTTTAGGAGCTCTCTGAAATACTAGGGAGTAAATCAGGAAGATTATCTAGGTCTTGGCCCACTCTTCCCTGCTAATCTCCCTGGCAGCGGTAGTGTGGCTTTGTGGAGGTGAGATGTGACATCACTTTTGTCAGCTATCAGCCCACACTCAGATGTTGGAAAGCTCAGGGAAGAACGCTGCTTGTGGGACAGGTTGATGTTTACAGTACAAATCATGCTGGGGCAGAAAGTGAGGGTAGGACTTTTGCTTTCTGATTTGAGAACTACTTTCTCATTACTGTACATCATCTGTGCACGTTGTGGGAATGACATCGGCTGGTTGTCCATGTCAAGGATGAATCGAACTTTCTCCCCGTTTCTGTTACCCGAGCTATTGTTTTGCAATGGGCCAAGTATTCTCTGGCTACAGATACCATTGGAGAAAAAAGGCTGACAGAGAGAAATCATGTCCTGTCATGCATGTTAACAGCAGGATGAATTAAAGGAAGCCGCAAGGCTTTTACTGCAGAGAGGGGAAGGTGGGGAGAAGTGAAATGGAGGCGTCCCTCTTTCCTCTGCTCCTGATGTGCCTGACGTACTAGTTAGTCTGTGCTTGTTTCAGGCTGCTGCACAGTGCTGAGGTTTGCAACATGGTTTGCCACTACTGGCATGGTATGGTTTGGGGTTTCAGTCAGCAGTAAAGTAATTAGCAGCAGCGGAAGGTATGTACATGCTCTCTCTTTTCTGGAGACCACCACGCTTTGCCCACCCGCAGCTGTGGGAGCAAACCCCCGGCCTCTGTGCTGCAGGCTGGCTCGTCTAGTGCAGCTCAGAAGCACCACTGTAAAGAAGAGTATGGATGTTGTCATTAGACATGAAAAATGCTGAGTGAGATGTGGGGCATTAAACTCTGATGGCCTGAGATACTGCAGTGTTTAAACATCTGAAAGGTTTTATTTCAAACTCTGAAGCACAGCTAGAAACTTCAAAGCTGTCATTCTCAGTCAGTGGACTTTTTTCAGACAGAGAAAGGCTTCAGTGGCCCAGCAAGTGGTTTTGGCTTCTTCTGGAGTTAAAAGTGTAGGTTATTTAATGCGCTGATGGGAAATGGCTACTAAGTGGAAATAATTGTTTTAATATGGGTGTGTTAACCATCCTGGAGGTATTTTTATAAATATCCTAGAACAAAAGAGCATGTGTTTTAAAGCTGAATGTAACTACTGCTCCACCTGGGAACAGTTCTTCTCCAGCAACAACATGTAGCTCTTCTTATAAAGGGAATTTAAACTTAATTCATCTCGGCAAACTACAGGGCACAAGGGAACAAGAAAAATGTAATTATCAGAGCTGGTATTAGCTGTGCTTGTGTTGTGAGGTGCAACCTGTGTTTAGACAGGATTTAGAGACCATTTAGAGCTTGTCACTACAGCTGGTTCCAGCTTTATTGCACAAAAAATGGACTTAACTCAAGTTTTAAATCTGTGCTGACTTGTGTTGAGTTCATTGCTGATGGCAGCTGCCTCTTTGACAGCTGTGGAAGTCTCCTCTCAAAAACCCGTACGAGCGAGTGCTGCTGTTCCCAGGTCCTGAGTTAGAGCCTGTCGTAACGAGCTTCCAGGCTGCTGTTCAGCAGCCCCGATGAAAAGGCAGGCAGGGAGTGTGTGTGCGGCGGGGGGCTGTGCCTCCCCTGCCAGGCTGAGCTCGCTTGCTCCCAAAGCCTGTGAAAGATTTTGTTTCTCATTTCAACTTCGAGTCACTACCAACCTGATCAGTGATGCAGAGATAAAAGGTTTGATGCCAGTGGCTTGCTACCTGTTCTCTGTAGTATTTATCCCTCTGATGGAGGGGTGTGTGTGTGTGTGTGTGTGTGTATGGGATAAGTCACCTATATATGATTGATTGACTGATTTGTAGGATCACGGGGTCAGTAGCAGCCTGTTCCAGAACCCTGCAAAGCTTCACCTGACTCTTGGGACGCTGGTACTTCTGAATGAGCAAGAGATCCAGAAAGCGTGTGACCTCCTACAGCGATGCAAAGAGGACTTTGTGGAGTAAGTGATAAAAAAGGGATGTCATCACCAAGGGCATGAGTGGGGGAACAGCAGCAAGCTGTCTTTGACGAGGGATAGTGAAGAGAAAGCAGCTCAGTAGTCTTATTTCAACTCTAGAAATGTAGAAAAAGGCTGAAACGTTTCAAATGGGAGCAGAAGAAATCTCCAAGTGGTCACGAAGAGTCTAACAGCATTGTGCATCTCAGCTCAAACCCTCAGCATTCCCTAAAAACCTGCTCTACTCATTTCTTTTTCTCACATGTGTCCCCGTTATTTTTGTGTGAGCAATTCTTGCTGTTGTCCGCTGCCTGCTGCAGAGGGAGGGACGAGCTCTTTACCTTCGCGCGTTGCCTGCAGTGGGCTCTGGCACGCTGCTTCCCTCCCGCCTCAGAGCAGATGCTGAGGTGTCCTTGACATGCATTTCTTGATGCAAGGAGCTGTGTGCAGGGAAGCCATGTGTGAGTAATTGGTCTGAAGCATTCAATGCTGCTCCAGGACCAGGGCTTTCTCCCTGCCTGTTAACACTGAGCTGCAGATGTTAGGGCTTTAACTGTAAATGTGGTTGAATGACACTCTAATTAGCTTATCTCTGTTCAGTTTAGAAATTGGAGATGGCCTGAGGGATTGGTTTATTTGTTTATTTCTGCAAAGCCTTTGCACATAGAGCATGGATCCTTGATATTTATTTATTTGTTGCCTCGGTGCATGAAGTATTAGCCACACTATACCAGCTAATACCTGTGGGAAATAATGCATGGCCAAAATTCATACCTCTGCCTTTAAAATGTCAGTTGTTCAGCTGTTGAAGAGAAATGCAAGTGCGTTTCCAGGGGAAGGCTCTGCCTTCAGTATCTGAAAAGTGGCATCTTCCTCATAAGTGGATTGAACTGAGGCAGAGAAAATCTTTACTCTCTATTTCCTTTAGTGGAGGAGGAATCAACACTTGAACATAACCTTTAGGTTATTTCCCCTGCCACACCCAAATAAATATACTTTGAAAATTAATTTAGGCTCCTTTCCACCCACACAAACCTACATTAGCATTCATTTACTTTGCTAAATGCAGGTAGTGCCATGTGAAGGTAGATGTGCCTTCTTTGACCGTTTTCAGAATGTATGGCCATCAGTGTTCTCGGTGTGATGTGCACAACGGTACACTTGGGCTGTTTTCCTCCCAGTAAACATACTGGAATGGGAAATCATGCTCTCCTTGTTCCACCTGGGAAGCTTTGCTGAGAATCTCAAAGTCGGTCTCTCAGGCAAGCTGAACAGAAGTGAGCAAGGTTAGAGCAAAGTCACGCTCACATTGTTAACTCATGTTTATTACTCTGCCTGCCCAGACACTACCTGTATTTTCCACAAGACCTCGGCATTAAATGAGACAACAGCATTTACTGGGCATTTACAGGGAACCTGCACTGCAGCGCCCTGCTTCCCTGTGATGTTCTGGTGGTAAAGGCAAGGAGGTGGCGTGTTTGGAAGCAGATACACTTCCCAGTGTGTTTGCAGGTGTGGGAGTGCATATTATATCCTACACACATTTTCAGTTTCGCCTTCCTGCAAGAGTAGCTGGAGCTGATTTTAAAACATCTCTATTTACTTCCAGCATTTATAAGTGGATGTTGAAATGTACGTAAAACTGCATTCTGTATCAAGTACTTTTCCCAGAGAAAGTCAGTGAGCTGGAGACTTTGTGTCACAATCGCTCTCTTCACAGGGAAGGCAAGAGTTTGTACCATTTTACTGCTGATGGGTTTTCTGAAATGTAAATGGAGATCTCTGCACTGAGGTGGCCTGTGAACACTAAATTGACTTAATGTGTGTCTAAAACACTGAACGTATGAATTTAAATGTTTTTACGGTGTTTCTTGAGATGATGAGACAATAGCAGCTGTAGCCTTTCAAGCTTTAGAAATTAGGGAGTCTTTTTTGTGTTTGGGTTTCTTCAGTGCAAACAACCTGAAAGACAGGGGAGAGAAGAACTCTTCAGTGGCATTCACTGCCCCATATGGTCTATATAACATTTTAGTCCTGCTTAACTTCAAATTTGTTTAACTGTAGCAAAAAACGTATTTTATATCATTCCCTTACTAAAACCAAATACTTAGTGTGTGCATGAGGAGTATTATGTGTTGTATTTCAAAAGCAGTGGTGATGTTTTGCTTTTTAACATAAGGGATTTCTTGCATTTTAGCCAAATTGCTGGAGGCAAGCCCCTGACTGTGGAGGTGTCAGGAGTGGAGTACATGAACGATGACCCTGCCATGACAGATGTCCTTTATGCCAAAGTCCACATGAAGGATGGCTCGGACAGGTGAGTTCCCCATTCTCCTTTCTTTTATTTCTCCTCAATGTGCCACAGCAGCAGTAGCGTTGTGCCAGAGAAACCCTCTGCTGTCTGAAGCTGGTGGGTACTGCTAACAGTCCTTGGGCCAGCAGTCAGGAAGATGAAGTCGTTCTTGCTTCCTAAACCGGTTAAGGCAGTGATGTGTTTGCTCTTTAAATCAGTCACTGGTGGTGTGGCTGAAAGATGTCATTTGTTCCTGTAGCAGTCTGTCAGACTGAATAATGGTGTGGTGGCTCGCGCTGTGATAAGATGGCCAAGGAGATACTTCTGAGATGACTTAGAAGGCAGGACAACTTGGCCTCTGCTGTCTAGTTCCCAGCCTGCAATCCAGATTAATCTGGACAACCTGGCATATTCTGCAGCACTTAATTATTCTTAAAACCCAGTTACACCAGAAGGTCCTCCGAAAAGCATGACTTGGTTACAGAGTTGGTTTTTAGCCTGGAACTGGTGCTAGGTGTGAAATGTCTGTACTCTGAGCTGCTGGTGTGAAACCTTGAAGCCTGGTTGTGTCAGTCTGTGCTGTTTGCCACTGTGACTGATGGCTTTAGCTCTACAAACAGTGCTGACAGGGATGTGGTGGTGTCTGGACAACCTTCCTCCACCTCATTTTTGACAAGTACGTCACCGGTGACAGCACCATCTTTTCTCTCAGTGCTTTCTGGAAGAGTGGGGAAACGTCAGCTGTTGTACTCTATGCTGTCAGTTGAGGGGTGGGTGGGAAAGTAGCCAAAAGAGCTTTAGCCTTCTCTCTCTGTGCCTTGGCCTTCTCTTTTTCTGGCAGTGCTGCCCTTTTGTTGTCTGTTCCCATTGCTAGAGGACAGCAGGAGCTAGCAGGGGAGCGCCGAGCAGTGCAGCTGGAGGGAAGCTGTGAGCAGGGACTGGCTCAAGGAAGGAAGGACATGTTCTGGCATCTCCTTTCCCCGAGGGCTGAGGAGACAAGGGGGGGTCCCTGATTAAAACCCGCACTTCGGAGACTGTGTTGAAGAGATCGGAAATGGGATAAGGAAATGGGTGGGAAAATGAAAATGTCAGAATTGCTGAGAGGCAGTAGGAGTTGAAATCTTTTCCTCTTCTCTGCTCTTCCACTTTGAAGTCTGTGCTACCCTGAAAGAGGCGAGATGAAACAAAGGGGGCGGGTGGAGAACCAGGGCAAGCTAGAGATCAGCCAGGAGACAGAAGAGAAGTACCAGGAGAAACAAGGCAGAAGCACTCAGAAAGATGAGACAGAGGGAGACACTGGATGACCCCAATGCCCTTTGGTGGGTTTGTTGTAGAAAACATCCGAAGTGTCAGCTCTGAGAGCTGAGGTATGGGCCTCTTTTCTCCGAAGTCACCAAGCTCTGGATCATCTGAGGTGCAGTGCTTGTGAGTCTGTTTGCATCTGAAAATAAGTCTGCAACCCGAAGAGCTGGTAGAGAAATCCTGTAGAGCGTAAGTAGGGCCTAAAGTGAGGCACTGATGTTTGCTGCGTCTGGAGACAGCTCGGATTGTTGGGACTAGCACTATGGTCTCCTTCAGATGCCAGCTGTATCCGTTTTGCTGAGAACCCACTTAGACATAATGCTAGCAGAAAATGCCAATGTGCATTAGGGGCAGCGGAGCTGATTTTGACAAGGGAGAGAAACGAGGTCTTCAAATCTACCTTGCCTTGCAAATGAAAATGACACCCACCTGCCCCCCCTAGAAAGGGCTGATGTCTCCTCTGTCCTTCACAGAGATCTGTTAGCTGAGGTTTTGACCAAACCCAGATCTTGTGCTTTGCATGGCACCTGGAGGCTGCCAGACTTCTCTTCCTCAACAACTTTTTTTGGTTTTTGCATAGCAGCATGCTCAGAGAGGCCCAAGTGATTTTAAGTTTTTATCCTTGGCCCACGCCGGTCCTGCCCTCACCTGCAAATTAATTCATCTGGCACTTCTCCCATAATACAGTTCCTTAACTGTTAGAAAGCATCCAGAAAACTTGTAACTTTGCAGAGGGGAAAGAACATATTTTTGTGTTGATGGAGAGCAGTGAAAGCTTCTTTTGCTTCCTCTGAGATTCCAACAGACACAGTGTTGGACAAATGGTGGTTATAAAGAGGGGACAAATGGTGATCCCGCCAGAAAACTCTGCTTCGTTTTCTGTATCTTTGCTGAGCGGCTCCATCCACCTCTTGCCTGCTAAAACATGCTGTGCTTTGCACAGGGAAATGGGGAAGGCAGGTAGAAAGCAAGAGTTTCTCGGCTGCAAGGCCAGTACTAAAGGAGAGTGGCAGCCACATGCTTTTCTGTGGTAGATCAGCCTGCTGCAGGTCGCGTTTAAGAGAAGTGTGTGCCTTCCTGTCTCATGCAAGATGTCTTGCTAGCTCTGTGTAGTTCCTGGCATGGCTGAGGGGTGGAGTTCCTTCCTGATCTTTGGATGATCTTGATCAGCTTAAGCTATAAAGCAGGAGATTTGATTTACCCTGACTTAGCTTGCATAACTGCAGACAGAATTAGGGGTTGGCAAGCCCTTCTGCACATATAATGGCCCAGACAGAGAGGGATCATGCTCTGATGCCTCCCACATGGCAAATAATTTCCATTATAATTCATCCTAATTTGTTTTATTTCCTTGATTAACTTTATAACATAATAAAGCACCATTTTCACTTGAGCTATTCTCTGTTAATTTGTTTTAGCATTGTCTATAATGATATTCATTTAATCTTTGTCATTGCTGATTTTAAAATTCACTGAAGTAAGGCCAGAAAGTGATATAAAACCATGACAATTGGTAGTTTGAGAGTCTAGAAATTGTCACATGGGGGCTGGCAGCCCATGAGGGGCAGTACAAAACCAGCGGTGGGGTAGGTTCTGGCATGTGGAGCATTGCAGCCCCAGGCTCTGGACGCCAGCCTTGGAGAGGCCATGCTCTGCTTCTCCCACTGCAGCTGAGGTGCCAAATTGGTGGGACCTGGTGCAGCAGAAAGCTGTCTGATCCCTTGGACATGGTGAGAGAAGCTCAAATTCTTCTGCATAGAGTAATACCCTCCTGCCTTGTTTTCAGGGACAGGAAATTTTTTTTCTAGCATATCCTTGCTGGTTTTGGTAAGGCTGAGGCACTGCAGAAATTTTGCAGGAGACAGCAGCAGCCTGGAAGTTCCTTCAGCTCTTTAGACATAGGATACGTGAGCGCATTGCTGATCACCTGCCTGCTCCTGCTGTCTATCCTAGGACAGGCCTGCCCGTAGATCCCCGCAGCCAGGGCCACTTTCTTCCCCAACTGAGGCCAGACAAGAAGGTGGCAATAAGTCCTTTGATTCTGCTTGCTCAGTAGCTCCAAAGCTGGAGCATTCACCAGGATGTGCTGTCTGGGTTTGTGCCCTCTGTCACCACATTCTGGGCTCTCCCAGAAATTAAGCCCAGTGACCATGTTGCTTATTTGGGACAGAGAGGGTCCAAGCTCCAGCCTGGTGCACCCTATGGGTCACAGTCCCTGAGCAGGGCAGATCCTCCAGGAGTCCAGGGTGCCTAGGCCCCCCTGGGGGTCTGCGGCTCTTAGCATTTGTAAGGAGAGGCACTCTGTATTTCCTGGCAGTAGACAAACACATCCTTCAAGTCCCAATAACATCTGTCACTGCGAACAAGCTCTCTGCTATGCTAAATCTGCCCTTCATTGTGGAATATTTGCAGCAGAAGTGATCACCAAGGAAGCTTTGCGAAACAACCGGAACTTTTTACATTAGAGCTGAATCCTGATGGCTGTGTTCACTTTCCATCCAAGAGCAGCTCCCTTTCCCCGTGTGCGTGCAGAGTTCATTTCACACATGCTGCCCTCCTGGGATGAAAAGCAAAAACCTGATGATGCAGAGGTTTCTTCTTGGTTTAAACTGCTCTGTTCTTTCTGGTTTTGCCTTCCCAGATTGCAGGTGATCGCTGATCAGCTGATGGAAAGGTTCGTGGCCTCCGGCCTGATGCTTAAAGAATGGGATAGGGTGAAACTGCATGCTACAGTCATGAATACTGTCTTCAGGAAAGATCCAAGTGGTGCGTATCCCTCACCCTTTCTACTGATAAGTGCATTTAAAGTAGTACCTCTGAACAGGAAATGCTTCTGTTGGCTTTTATGTTTCCTTTTTTAAATTTTGTGATCTTTCCTAATCTCAAAAATACCTATGGTCATGGGGAGATGTCACTAAATAAAACCCAGAAGAAAATTAAAAAGCAATCAGCAGAACTGCAGAAGGCAGGCATGCTTCAAGCACTTTCTGGATCTTTTCTAAGATTCTTTGTCGTAACTTCAGAAACACTATCACCCAGCAGCACTCAGAGGATCTGGGCCAGAGAGGAATGTGTTCAAGTACTGTTTGAGGTCTTGGGTTCTCTGTGCCCCAACATTGAATTGAAATTCAGTAACAACTCAATGTGCTGTGCTGATCTTTAAACAAGATGAAAACGTGGTCCTCTTTGGTCAAGTTAAAGATCTCCTGTTGGTTTAGGAACGTGAGTCCGGTGTCATTCTCATTAAATCAGATTCAGATGGCCACAAGGCTGAATATCAGCTGTTATTGAGTGTATAGCGTCTGCTGTCTCTGCCAAAAGACTGTCTGCTCTAGCAGTCTGTAGCATTGTCCTTATCACATTACTTTACACAGCAGCCTCAGATGCATTGCATTTAAGGAGGGGCAGTGTTCTCCATGTGCAAACATGCATATGCTCTGGCACTGGTGTGTAGTTTGCAAGTCTTAACAGCGTTGCGCTAAAGCTTTTCGTAGCTTTCTCTGGCGCAGCGGGCTCTGTGCAATGCCAATAGGTTATGTCGAGTATTCTCCGGTTACTGCCTCTCTGAGTCTCTGTATGGACAGCGATAACAGCAGATGGTTTGTGTTATGGTTTTCTTGTGCCCAGCGGCAGACTTTGGGGATGAATGCTACTAAAGTCAGATAAACATACTCAGGCAGTAGGAACCCTGAAAAGACGAGGCTTAGCTCTCTTAAACTGAGCCCTGAAAATTGGTGAAAATGTGCACCCAAAGTGCTGATGTGGCTCTCTGTTAGGGGAGATGCATGGGCAGCTGCGCCTGGCATTGTGAGTCTGTTTTCACGAGGCATGCGAGGCATTCAGACACAACTGATAGAGAATTTCACAGATAGCCCTAGGAATCACTTTACATTCAGTACAGGATTTGAGTAGCATGCTAGGTGTGAGTGAGACTTCATAGTTAATGCTAGAGATGAAACAGAAGTATTGAATATATTCACTGAGTGTGGCAGAGGTCCTGTGGAAAGAACAGATCATGTACTCCGGGATTATATAAAAATCCAGACATGCTGTGGGGAAATGGATCTAAGACGTAGACATTTGGCAGTTGCTGTAGGCCTAGGTTGCTATTCTTAAAGTCTGTATGTGTGGCTGCATGCCCACCCCGCAGAAGCATACACACCACATGTGTGTGCTTCCCGGAGCAGGCAGCAGAGGTTTGTATAGGTGCTGTCCGGGTCACGCCTGGCATTGTGCTCACATGCTCAGTCTGGGATTTGGTGCTGTTCCAGGCGATGCAAGCGCTCGCAGTGCTGACTCTCACCCTGGCAGGATGTGCGATTAAAATCAGCCAGAGAGAAGCAGATGTGTTGCACTGAGCCATCAGCCCTACAGAACCACCCTAGCAGTAGCTATGATATAGGGTCTTTCCTCCAGGTAACGTCGATCATCCCGGTAGAGGCACCAATTCCTGCATATTCAGCCTCGTTCTCTTTAAAAAAATCAAAATGGAAGTGGGTTTTTTGCACTAAGAACCGGGCAAAGACGGTTTATTAGCTGACAGCTGACTTTGGGGAGGGAGAGAGTGGGGGGTGAAGTACAGCACACACAGTTCTCCCATCTGAAGCTCATTCTGGTGGTGGCTTTTCTCTTTACAGCTGAAGAGCGAAACAATACTATGACTGGTAAATCATCTTTCAAGGAACGGGAGTCGTTTAATGGCCGAAATATCCTCAAGGTCAGTATGAAACAATTAGGGAAATCGAGCCAGCTGTGGATATTGTATAGCTGAAAGAGGTTGAAACACCTCTTCAAGACTGCTTTTGTTTTAGGCTTATAGGATCTCCCAGGGGGGAAAATCTGTTTAGAAAATAAACAATCCAGATCACTCATAATTGGGAGCATTACAGTATTTAACAGAAGCGTTCTTAAAGCTGGTGAGGCTCGGATCAGGAGTATGTAGCACGAATGCTAAGTGGGTGTTCGTGTTGTCGTTTACTTCGCTCGTGTTTTACCCTGGAGACTCAGGCTCGTGCCGATTCTCAGCCCACCAGAAAGGAGTACTTTGTTGCTCTTGTTCTACTCATATGTATTTATGAAACTAAAACCGACTGCCATTTCACTTACTCCTTTCTTCTGTTTTCTCATCTCTGCTATGGATTTGCATGGTTTTGCTCCAGAAAAATAGCAGATGGCGGTAGGGGGTGTCCCACCAGCCAGGATCTGAGAGCTTTGGCAGTGATCAGAGGGTAGGAAGCAAGATCCCCCAGACCGTAGAGGTGGGTAAGGCTTGAGGGGGAGCATTCTGCAACCTCCCAGGCTTTGTCATCCAGGGCTGAGACTGCAGGCAGCCTCTGCTGCTCATCCAGATGGCAGTGGCAGACTGATGCTGCGGTGGTTGGCCCCTGCAAGTGTCCAGAGAGAAAAGGCAAGCACAGAGGAGTAGAAATGGAAAACAAAACTGGGTTGTAAGCAAATTTGCAATCCTCATTGTGTGAGGGGATTTGTTGCAGGCAGCTATGATAAGACGGAGACAGGACAATGCTTGAAATACATTTGGGATCCGATAGAAGATATTCTGGCAACAAAGAGATACGAGAGAGGATGCAGGCTGTGTGGGAGTTGGACAGCCCAGAAGGACTTTAGGGCACCGGAGCAGGAAAAGGGTGCGCTTTATTTGTGTTTACAGGTTTGCTGTATAATGTATGAGGCACTGGATGCACAGGGATGTGAAGGCAGGGAGTGGAACTGATTGATCTCCTCTGCACAGAGGACAAACAAAGGGACAAAATTAGGTTAAGCTCTCATTGTCCTCAAAGGTCTGTGCAAGCGCAGTGTTATGACTCAGCATCGCCACATGTTGAGTGTTTGGTGTGAGACTGCAGTATTGCAAACTGAAGCAGGAAAGCCACAGACGTGGTCCTTTTCTTAATGTGATCTGCGAGTTTTGGTTAGCTCCCAGTGCCCGAGAGCTGGGCTGCAGAAAGGGAAGGTGGTACGTGTCGGGAGCCCTGCGTGTCTGCGGGGACTCAGCTTTCAAGGCGTACGCCCACCTTTCGTTTTGCCCTTTGCTTCTCTCTCTTGCGTCTGTTAAACTTGTCCTCAGACTTTAGGGATGCATAAAATCAAACCGTTGGTCTTCCTTAATGCTCCTCATCCCAAAACATTTATGGTTTGGAAGGCATTAACGATGCTCCCTCTACTGGTCACACCATTTGTGGACCGTGCTGCAGGGTCTGAGGATCTGTGGGTCGAGTAGTGTGTGTTGCTTGGAAATGCAAGTGCCCTACCTCAGATGGCTACTTCTTATTCTCGCTGCTCTCTGAAATACGAGCCGATGCATTTTTAAAGCTCCTAATTGATTTTGTACTGATGTAGCCAGAAGAGCTGCTGGCTCTTTGGACTGTTGATAATTACTTCAAAGCATGTCTTGCCGCAAGAAATGTCATCCTTCTCCCCACCTCCACTACATTTCCTAACCTGCTCGCTTCGTATTTCCCTTTGGTCTCCCACGTGCCTGCAGCAGAACGCCCGTTGGCATTAATTAATTACATGAGTCATAAATAGCTCCAGGCTTCTTACCAGAGGAGCCCAGCCTCAGCCAGCCACTGATGCATTCTAGCATGACCTTGCAAGGATGCGCCAGTTCCCTCCCAGCCCCCTTTTATATACATTATTTATCTTCTGCTCAGGGAGGCTGCCCTCTTGCAAAGTGGCTTCATTAACTTTTGCAATAAGATCTAAACGACGGGCTGTTAATGAATATGGTTGCAGTTAGACGGGCTGGCTTGCAGGCACCATCCCCTTGTAGGTAGAGCAACGTGCTGTGCGCGTGTTCCCAGGCAGTGGGACTCTGCGGTAGCTGTGTTGGGTGGCAGTGCTCCCACTTGGAAAGCCGACAAAGCACGGCTACTGGTAGGAGGGCATTAAGTTGGAGAACTTTGTGTTTCATGGCTCTCGTTCCCCTTGTGCAGCTACGGCTGGTGCTGTCAGGGCAAAGGCTTTGCTTCGCAGAGGGCAGGACCTGAGCCATCTCAGCATGATGGACACCCCCTGGTTCTGCTGTTCCAGTCTGAGGCTCCCCCGTGGTCAGAGGTGGTGTGTGTGTGTGCAGATGCACTGGCAGCACGTTTGCTGATAGCGTGCCTGCGTTACCCCAGGCTCCAGCTGGTATTTTGCTTTCAGCCGAACTAATCGAAATTTTATTTAATAATCCTTTGTTCTACCCATTCCGCAGAGTTAAACATACACTCCTATTTGTGCTAATAAATGGTTGTGCAGGCCGGTACCTTCCCACACTGCTCAGAAAATAGATCCTGTAGGATGAGTTGCGTTTGGGAGTTTAAATTACTTCTGTATTGAAGAATATCCATGAAAAAGGCTCCCTGGACTTGCTGATGCTGAAAGCCCAAGGGAGTGCGTGATCTAACAGCTGAGTGATTCGTGTCTCCCACAAAAACACTAGACACTTTAGCATTGCGCTTTTCTAGCCTAGTCTCAAGAAGCTGGGGATGCTTTATGAACCACTTCATATGGAGCGATGTGTATTTCTTCTAGGGTGGCTAGTGGCTAGCTGATCGACTCCTTTGATTGCACGAGTCACATACCAAACTCTTGCTCTGGTTGGGAACAAAAAGCAACTCGTTTCTTGCAGAGCAAAGGGAGAGGGCAGCAATTGGCAGCTGAAAGGCAGCGGCAGCTCCTTCGCTGTGAGAGAAGGGTCAGGGCAAGCGGGCCTCAGGGAGATGCCGGTTTGGCAGCCCCTCTGCCTTGCCTCCTCCTGTGTCCCGGGCGGTGGCTGCGTGCCCTGCGTCGCAGCTGGCCAAGCGGCACAGCGCTGGCACAGAGGCAGCAGGGGCAGCTGCCTGCATCTCCGGAGACGAGGCTTGGCTGCCTCCGGGCTTTTATTTATTTTGCTTAGTGAAAAAACTAAGGCTGCAGTGAATAAATAAAAATGCAAAGAAATGCAAAGGTACCACCTGGCCCCAAATTTTCTATTATACTTTTAAAGGAAAGGAAGGCTTACAGTAGGAAGAAAACCATGTGGACTCTCACTGGGTTAAAATTTAATGATTTTTGACTTGAGGTCTGAGGCGGAAAAGAGTGGCCTTTGCCACATTCAAACAAGAAAGAAGCTGATTTTAAGTACAGAAAAAGATGAACCTTGCTGCTTAGCACAGATCTGTGCATTAACAGCTTACAAGATTAAATATTGAGGGAACAGCTACTGAGGAGCAGCAGCGGAAAGCTGCCCATCTTATGTCTTAGGGCATTAAGGGAGGCTTTAAGCTGAGATGCAAGCCTGGAACGGGATCAGTCGAGGCAGTGACACATGCTGCCATGCCCTGGGCTGGCAGTTGGAGCAGAGTGGCCGGGCTGCAGGACTGCTCTGTGAGGGCTTCTAGTTGGACAAGGCATAATTCGATGACGCTTCTTCTCTTTTGAAGCCTGCATGCAGGGTATGACATTATGGGACCCTATCTGCTTTCACTTGGAGCAGGGGGAAAGTGCATTTACTGACTGATATACCAGGGCTGATGGAGAGCTGATCTTAGCAAACAAATCCGGTAGTGTTCTCTGTTATCATTTTTATCTTTCTGAGTGAGAACAGTACAGTGGCTGTGGTGTGCAGTAGTTCAGTTTAAGACATTTAATGTAATGCCATAGAGAGAGAATGTGAAAGCAAAATCTTGTTCTGCATAAACACCCTAACCCCTCAAAATACCCCAAACCCACCAAGTGGTAAACAAATTAATATCTGCCCCTGTGCAGAGCCACCATTATCCAGTACACTTGCAGATGAGGAGTGCTTCTCGTGTTCTGCAGCCATCGGTACCCAGGCCTTTTCTGTGTTACTTTTGTTAGTCAATTTAAGGAGACAGAGTCTTTTCCCAGTGTATATTTAAGCTGAGGTGAAATCAAAGGGCCAAAGAACCTGCGTTAGGTGAGATCAAGACTGCCCAGTGTTCAGAAAGAGTAAGAACTTCTTATTATCCTCAAGGAGGTGATCTGGGTGTATATCTAGAGTAGATCTGGCAACTGGAAGAAGTACCTAACAGGGGCTGGCTGCTTGGAAAGTTTAGAGTTAAAATTACCAAACAAAAATCCACTGGGGTGAGAACAGACTGAATAAGAGATTGTGGTGCAACATCACTGTATCAGAAATAAGCCAGTGCTTTCCTCGCCTCGGTTTTACAGAAGAATCAAAAGCAGAAATGAAAGACTGTAGTGCCGCTTTGCAGAGGAGAGGATTTTTGCCTTCGGTTCTGATCCTGCCATTACCGAGGGATACTGAAACGATCGAGGGGGCTCAGCAGTGTGCAGTTAGAGCAACAGTGGGATGGGAGGATGTGACAGTTGAGCAGATGAGACTGGAGATCAATGTTTGTATGATCTTGGGGAAAAATAAAGGAGATTAAATTGCAGTTGCTGTGATAACGCTTTCCTACGAATTATATTCTGAGGGGAAAAAAAAGGCATATTCACTTTATTTGCATTCGGTGAAACAGGAAGCTGAAGTGGCATTTGGAAATTCAGACTAGACAATAGAGGGAAAATATATCTTTGTTGGAGTGTTTGGGCCTTGGAGCAGAGCGACGAACTGGTGCTGGAGGTATTGAGAGAAGGCTGAGACGCCGCGCTGAGGAGAACGCAGTGCAGGGAGTGCAGAAGGTTTGTGCTAACTCGCCCGCGTGTGACAGATCCGTTTGGTGACCTTACTGTAGAGGGGAGAAGCCTCTTTTTCTTCAGAGGTGCTCAGCACCTCTCTGACTAATTTAGCAGGAGCTGTGAGTGCTGGAAGAAGGAGGATTTGCTGAGAGGGTTATAAAGTTCTGAATCCACTTGCCCCTTCCAGGCGGGGCTACCTGCACCGCGGCCCCCTCCAGCCCAGCAGCTCAGCCGTTCTGGAGGCGCTCTCTGTGTGGGTGTGGGTGCCTCTGCCTCCCACTCAGTGGGCATCCTGCCTCCTCATTTCCCTGAGACCACTGTTCTGCCACCAGCCAGCTGAGACAGCGTCACCTTTTTGATCTTAAGAGGACAGTTTTTCTCGGTGGAGCTGGCAGGGGTTGAATTACAGCAGTGCCTTAATAGAAGACAGGGACCCAGCACATTAAGTGCAAAAAAAAAAAAAACCAACCAACCCAACACACTGATTAGCAAAAGTAGGCAGCTTATCCCAAAGGTGCCATAACCCTTCTGCCAGATAATTTCCCAGGTCTGTCTGAATTAATTTACTGGTTCCATAGATGGGCTTCTCCTCTTGGTATTTTGGTGAGCGTAGTGAGTAGGTCACATTGATGGGAGCTCCTTGTCCTAGCATTCCCGAATGTGTCTCAAGCCTCCTGGCATCTCTGCAGCAAAGCTGAAGCCCAGCTCTTAAAAACTGTTGCTGCATTTGCAACAATAGGCAGTGCTAGGAGCCACGGGGATGAAGCTCCTTTGGAGAAATGCAGTGCTTGGTTATCAATTTCCTTAAACAAGTTGTGCTGAAAATCCTTCATATTTGAGGCATAGCAGGATCTGGGAAGTCAGTGGAGCCTTTAATGTGCTGGAGGGTTTTTTATTCATCTCTAAAAGATGTACAAAAATCCAGTAACCTCCAAATGTCCCACTTGTATTTGTTTCTTAGTTTGCAGAATGCCTTTCACCATAGCAACTAGGGTTTGATTTCCTCAAGCGCATGAATTTTCATGGATATGTAGCAGGAGGAACGGGCCCAAAACCCTGAGCTAAAGCAAAGGTTTTGCAGCGTGGCAGTGGCAGGAGCACCACTGGATTTGGCTTGTGAAGTAGGGGGACCCTGAAGGGAGAGGTTCTTAACTGAACAGAGGCCTGCACCTGGCCCCAAGTGGTTTTATTTGCAAAAATTCAGATCTGACAGATTAATTGAGACTATTGCTGAATGTTACCCTCCCCACCGCTGCATCACCCTCTGACAGCTGAGATGGTTTTGCTCCAGAGTTGTGAAGAGCTGAGGTTTCACATGGCAGCAGTCAGAGATGTTCACAGAGCCCAGCTGGAACCTCATACCCTTCCCACCTGTGAAGGTCAGAAGGATGGTATGGGCAGTGTGAAGCGTGCTCCTCTTAGGTCTGCAGATGAAACCCAGCTGGGAGAGGAAGGAAAATTGCATATGTTAGTAGGAGAGAACAGAGCTCCAAATGATCTGGAGAAATCAGGCAGAAACAAATGGACTGCTGAGAACAAGGACAGATCCAGGAGGGAGCAGTGCCTCCGTACCAGCCCCAGGGACAGGGATTGGGGGTTACAGGGGACTGCTCCAGAGCACAAGCCAGCTCAGTCTGTCTGTGGCAATAAAAGAAAGAAGCAAAGGCCTGTGAAGTAAACTGGTGACTCTACACTGGTGCTCAGCCCCTAGCTGAAGTATTTGTCCGGTTTCAGGCCCTGTGGACAGGTGCAAAGAGTCCAGAAGGCAACAGTAAGATAATCAGAGGGCTAGAAAATGTCTGTGAGCTGAGACTGAAAGACTTAAGAGTTGTTTTGAGGGTAATAAAGGGAAGAAGGAGGACAACACATAAGAAAAACTCTTTAAGCATGTGAAAGCTTTTGCCAGTAGTGGATACTCTGTCCTCCATGCTCTGATGGTAGGGCAACAAATAACGGGCTTAAATTGCAGCAAGAGCTTAGGTGTTAGGAAAATCTTTGTAATGGGAAGGGTAATGAAGCACTGACCTAGAGGACCTGGAGAAGTGGGGGTTCCAGTTGTTCTGAGGGAACAGAGACCTTAGTCCAGGGTCTGCCACGAGTGAGCTCCTCCTGCCTCGGGGAAGGAGACGACGTGGAGCCAATGGCTCCTTTTGGTCCTTTCTTTATCTTGTCATTTTATGATTACTATGTGAAATATATGCAGAACACTCATGAAATGCCATTTGTGAACATTCCTAAAGCTTCTTGGCATTTATGTGGCATTTACTTTGGCTCGGTAAAACAAAAATATAGAAAAGAAACCTCCCATTGGTGGTACTTTTCCAGACAGAGATGGTTATACCGTTACTGCTTTCTGACGGGTGGCACCAGTGATTTAATTGGAAAAGCTTTTCCTGTGTCATAGAGGAGATACCACTGACTTGTATCCTGTGTTGGGCTTGTGCTCCCCCAAGATGCTGGCTTGTTTGCAATTTTGGGTCTTGGTGGTTGGTGGCAAAGCTTGCCGATATAAATGACACAAGAAGCAGCAAGCTGAATGCGAACGATAAAGGAGTTAGTGCTTTGCTTATGATACAGATCAGCTGTGCTCCCAAAAGATAGGCCGCTGGGACTTTTTATGACCAGATTTTCTCCCTCCTGAAATCTGTGTGGTTTATTCTTCCTAAGAGAGACAAGGTGAAAGGGCCTCTGCTGCCACCTTTTACAACCTGCCAGAGGTTGAAAGAAGACTTAAACGGGCAGTGCTGTTCCTCGTGCCATCTGGGTGGAAGGGCTTGATGCTCTGTTGATGATGGAGAGACACTCCAGAGCCAGCTGCACACTTGCAGAATAAAACAAACGGTCGATCCGCATACGCCCACCAAGGTGGCTGGTGCTCAGAGGCCTTGGCACAGGCAGCATTCTCATGGTGGCAGACAACTGCCTTCTCTCTCTGCCCTTCCTAACCCTCTCTTCCACCCTTGCCTTGCGACTCTGCACAACGTCTTAATCCTGTAACACCCATGCAGTAATGGAAGGTGTTGGATGCCCGGCCAGCAGTCCTTTAAAAAGTTGTGGAAAGGAAGCAATTGCTAATTTGGAGAGGAGGTGGGGAACACCGGGAAGAGCTGCCTCTCTGGCTGAGTGCCTGTCTACCTGCTTTTCCTACACTTCTCGTACATTATTGCTGGCAAGCTTCCAAGCACAATTAAACCTCTGACAGATAATCATTGGTGGAGTGGTGTCCAGGGTGAATAATACAGGAATCAGATACTTCTTTTTTGGCACCAAACTGTTTCAGGAAACATGTTTTGAAAGTTGAAAATAGAAGAAAAAAAACCCTGTTAATTGAACAAACTCCCCAGATCTTGACACTTTGCCCGGTTGTGTCTTACCTTCTGGGAGCCAGCAGGGGATTTGATTTGGGGGTTGTCTGTCATAGTTTGGGGGGGTTTAGGTCACAAATGGAAAAGGTTTTGATGCATTTCTCAGGACAAGAAAGAAGGAGCTCTGCCAGCATGTACTGCAGCCTGGGGACTGGGGCGACTTCTGCCGTTTCATGCTGTGGAGGTAACAGGCTTTTGTAGACCACTGGGGTGGTCGACAGGGAGGTGTTGGTAGCAGAAATCCACAAAGCAGGAACAGGGCACAGGCAGGCTGTCCTTGAGGTCCCTCTTTTACCAACAGCTTTCCATTGTGGCGTGGTGTTCACGAGTCACCCTGCCCAGGAGTGACAGAGGTGCTGCTCCGACCTGAGAGGCCCTGACAGGTCTGTGTGGGAGGTCACAGGAGTGAGGTGTGTTAAGCAGGTAGGTAAGATCCCAAAAGCGGGGTTGGAAACTGGTTTGTGCAGCAAAGGAGATAATCCGAAGAGCTCCAATGGATAGTTTGCTGAAGTTCAGTGGAGTCTTTGAGTCCATCAGTGTTTGAGTGTTACTTTCACATTTCTAAACCTTTTTTTTTTTTTTAATTTTTAATCCATCGATGTTTTTTGCCATCAGTAACTTTTCCTCTATCGAACCTTTTGGCTTAATGCTGGTACCAGCTCTGTAATACAGCAGTTTGCTGAAGAGTCGGCGCCTTCCCTGCTGTAGCTGGCATGGGTACCACAGTTGTGCTTTAGCCAGATGATTTGGAAGAGCGATTGTTCTCTGCTCATCTGGAGTGTTTTCTGTCCCAAGCTGTGGACGTGTTATACAAGCGTTAATTCAGATGTATCATCCCTCATGAAATGGAAAAATAGCCCGAGGTTTATTTGGGCAAGTCACAGCCCATGGTCTGATCCTGTCTGGGTCCCTCCCCTCCCTTGTAGTGTAAGGTGGTGCAAGAAGGGTTTGAGGTGTTGGGGTCATGCTCTGCTGCAAGTACTGCCAGGAATATCCAGGGGAGGGTGCAGAGAGTCTGGAAACAAGCAGGTTTCGTTGCTCTGAAGAGGTTGAGGTATCTTCAGAAACGCCACTTAATTTTTCTCCATGCTTGTCAGCGGGCGCCTGGGATTTTGTTTGCTTCTTCCCTTCCCCGAAGGAGATAACAGCACCGTAGCATGCTGATTTCCCACGGAAAGCAACCTCTCATCCCTCCCGGCTTTCCAAGTTCATTCCTTCATTCACCGCTGCTCCTGATCAGGACACGCCGAGGGTAGCGGCTGCCGCCGGGCGAGCTGGTGTAGCTGTTGTCACTGCGTGCAGAGCAGATGAAGCTGTAAAGCCTGTGGCTTCTCTGAAGCTTGAGTTTAATCTCCTGGTTTGAGCTCTCTCCGGTGCTGCTGTCTGCTGCTGGACCCTGATTCCCGGTGCGATCTTGCATGGCCACAGCACTGGGTTGCCTGTCAAAAGCGATCCTCCTGCACAAGTTCTCCCAGGGAGGCAGATATGAGTGGCACTCAGCCTGTTCGCGTGCCTTCCTGGAAGGGATCTTTTGGAGGATAAACACCTTCAACTCGGGCAAAACAGAGGAGAAGGGATTGCTGGCGTCCCGTCCTCAGCATGGACTGCGCAGCAGGAATGCCAGTGAGCTCATCCGCAGCCGTCAGCTCCCGGAGCTGCAAGCCTCTTCCTTCCTGCGTCTCAGAAGTTGCTAATTTTTGAGCTTGTTCCAGATACAGAAAATGGGACCCCCCCCTCAGCTCCCTGCTGAGGGCAGCCGGGTTTCTTAGGCTGATTGGTCACAGACTAATGACATTACATGCCTCTGCTCGCCCCCAGCACTGATTCACCAGGGACAGTTTTGTGCTGTTAATCTATAATACCCCTACCCTAAGGCACTGCTTTCTGTGGCTGGAGTTCACAACAAAGTGAGCTCCCGCAGGCTGGGGGTGTATGTGTGTGTGTGTATGCATTTTATCCTGTGATAATGCTGCTCTTTGGTGGTAGTTTTTAATTGTAAAGCATTGCAGTGAGTTGTTCTCTCAGCATTTCTGAGCACCAAGGCTCTCGGCAGGGCTGCTTGGACTTTTTATTAATTCAGGATGGGTCCTTTTTGGCTGACTACCGTAGACGACGTCAGGCTTTAAAAACTGATCAATAATCCTGATGGTAGCAGCAAAATCCAGGCCAGGCAGCATGAGTGCAAGCCGGAGATTACGTGAAGGAAGTTTTAAATACCTATTACTCCCTTCCCTTGTCTGGACTTATTTTGTCCTCCCGCTGCCCAGTGCCTCTCCAGGCGAAGCCATTAATATTTCTCATGCTTGTTGAGCCCCTGACAGGTGATTTAAAAGCACCAGTTTGTGTTGGCATCTCCGCTCTTCATAAGTGGAGCTGAAACGCGTCGCTGCTGTCCTTACGTGGATTAGTGCCGTGATTTATTACCGTTGTTTCCAGGTTTGAACACAAAGGTGCTGTCTCATTCTGGGAGGGTTGTCTGTGGGAAGTGAGCCCCCGAGGATGGCTGCTTGACAAATACCCACGCTCGGGAACACAACATAATTTAGACACACATTTTAAGTGCTTCATCGCGGAATCGTTCTCCTTTGCATTTGTTTCTATAGTCCTTCAGTAAAACCTACTTTATGGGCTAAGGCAAAAGGGGAAAATATGTGGAAAAGAGGCATCCTTGGTTTTGATCTGTTGCTCTGCCTTTGATAAGGAAGTTGTGGTTTGAGGGCTGAAGTTTGTACTAGCATTTTTTGGCTCAGGTTTGCAAGGAGCAAGTGGTTTGATGTGTGATGCTTTCTCTCCCAAAACAAGGCTTCAGCCTCTGTCTTCCTTCAGAAAATGATTGTCACGCCCCAAGGGAGGCCTGCTATGTAATTTGTGGGTAATAGAGGGGAACGGACCTTGGAGGAAGAAGAGTTTCCAACATCTGAATGGAATTGTCTTAAATGAGAGAAATTGGGGTGTTAGAAATAACAGGTGTGCTGCTGGCTTATTCTGGCTCAGAATAAATGACTTTGGGGGCAGAAATGGAGAAAAGCATGCTTTCTGGGAGCTACCGCAGGGCTGCCTGCCTTTCATCATTACCTGCACGGTTGTGTCCTTGGCCCCAGCTTCCCAGAAGGGAGAGGGAGCAGGAGAAGCGCTTGCACACATGGGCCTATGGTAGTTTGCAGGCTGACGTATGAAGTATGGGTTGTCCATGGAGCAGTACGCTCCCTCTCTCGGGAGCTCATGGCTTTCTGCACTGGCAGCACGGCTGCAAGTCCCAGCCAACCCCTGCGGGTCCTGGGAGGGTGCTGTGCCCCTCTCTCGGCACCCACTGCTTCCCCCTGGGAGATGCCCTGTCCTTCTGGGCATCCTGGCTGAGCGGTGTCCCAGCCTTCAGCTCTGCTTTGGAAGGCAGAGCACATCTCTGGCATATTTGCTTAGAGGTGCTGGGTCTGGGGTTAAAAGTTAACAATGCTCTTTCCTTATTCAGTTCTAATTTAATTTGGGAAGGCAGCAGGGGGACAGAGGGCACTTAGTCTGGTAAGTGCTATTCCCCTGATGGGAGTTAGTAGCTTGCACAGCATGCGTGGTGCAGACTTTGTAAGCTGACCTTTACCTCCATCAGGTTCATTTTCATTTATAATAATTTTTAAAAAGCAAAGAATCCCAACCCCCAGCCTCTTATTTATTCTTTAGGCGGTGAGGACGTAAATCCTTCAGCGTGTTTGGATTTATAGAATTACTGTGATTTTGCTGAGGCTCACATCCCACTCCAATCAAATGACACGGCTTTCGGTAACCGTGCGGGTGATAGCGTTTTTCCTCCTCGTGCCTCCCTCCTAGCTGCTCCTGATCCGCACCTCCTCGTGCTCCCTGCAGCCTTTTTGGGGAAAGGTGGGCCTGTGGCACCCGTGGGAAGAGACAGGAGGGGGACTAGGCAAGCCTTGGGGCTATCAGCATTTGCACATGAAGCGTAACAACCTCCAGGTATCTTTCCTGGCCCAGAATAAAAAACTGCTAAAATGCTTTTATAGAAGGCATTTCATCAGCTGTGCTACAGGCCTCCTCCGAAACCGGAGCGTTTCCGTGGTGGCTGGGGAGAGGGGGGAGATATAAATATCTTTCTCGGCTCTGCTTGGCTTCTCCCCAAGATAAATAGAAGTGAAAGTCGAAAGGAGAGGCTTGGCCTTCTGAAATCTCTTCCTGAGCCTCCAGGGACCCGAGCGCAGGATGCTTTCATGACGGGAAGCCAGCTCGCAGCGTTTCAGGGGTCTCGGAGGGTGATGTTGGAGGGACCCCCTCCCCACTGCCCGAGGCAGACCTCGGCCGCGCGGTGGCTCAGCTCTGATCCCCACGCCTGGCATCCGGTGGCTCCGGTCCTGGGAAGCCTCAGGGAGCAGAGAAGCATCAGAGAGAAGCTGGCTTGAAACGAGAGCAGAAAAAAATGTCTGTGGTTGTCCTCTAAATCTTGTAGTATGTTTACCCTCAGAAAGTACAGCTACATTACCAAAAATCAATAGTTCTAGCAGCGTTCTCCTTGGGAAACACACACACGCTCGGACACATGAGAGGTGGTAGGTCTTAAAAAAGCCAGGGGAATACAAAGTGCTTTGGTACAAGGGTTTTGCTTCACTTTTAGCAGCGTACAAATGGAGGACCCTTGACATGGGCAGTGTCTTCTGGGACTTCCTGATTGTCTTTCTGGGCCGATGTGCCTGAGGCTGTGCGAAGCTAGAGAGGGGCTGGGGGGAGGGTTTGTCTCATTAACTAATTTTTGCTTTGAAGTACATATGTTCTGTAAGGGAAACACGTTGTGGTGTGCAAAGATAAACAAGTATTTGAAAGACTCTTCCTTTGGCTGTTTTGTGTAAAGGTTTGACTTTTGTGGTGATGGGACCGGCACATCCCAGTGTTTCATTTGTTTTCCTCATGTTTGCAAAGACTTTATTCTACAGAAAGGAATGCACATCATCCCCCTTCTCTTTTAAAAAAATCCTTTTCAGATCCTAGTGTCTCCTTGTTTACCAGCGCACCTACCGCTCCGTTAGGAATGGAGAGAAGTGATTTCCATTTTTCTTGGGTGGAGAGCGCTCTGCAAAGGAAGGGAGTGTCGGAATGAACAACCATTTTGACAGAGATGGGTATTAAGGTTTGGGGTGAGTGGGCATGCTGGCAGCAAGCACTGCAGCAAGCCCTGGAGAGCTGGAAAGCATCCTTCCTTCTCAGATCAGCCAAAATGAAAAGAGAAAGGAGACCAACCCCTTTTTACTACCATCTCTTATTAATGAAACATTTTATCCTAAGTCCTCTAATATGAACTACGCAGGCTTTTGGGAACATAATTAATCTTTCATTGTATAAATCTTTAATTGTATAAAATGGAGTTTGTATGGCTGTAGTCATTTCTCTTCTCTCTTTTCCTCCTCTCTCTGAGACGCTCCCTTAGCACAACTTTGTGAGAGGGTGCCCCTCTTTACACACACACACACACACACACACACACACACACGGTGTCCCCTGAGGCCAGGCTGCTGCCATGGGGCCTCTTGCTGGGATGGGGACCTGCATGACGCCCGTGGCAGAGCTCCTGGCTCCTGCCAAGTACATGCTCGGAAGAACTGGCAACAAGTTGTGGCTTAATAGGAGTCTGGGTGATTAGCAGTGAATTACGTTGGGCCCTGTGCAAAGTAAGTCCTTGTGCTGGGGTCTTAAGGGACGAGCGTCACCCCAAAGGCAGGGAGGGCTACAGGGAGGTGCTGCTGAGCCGGAGGCTGATCTCCCAGGCAGGCACACTGTGATTAAATGGTCCAGCACAGAGAAACCCAGCTCCTTTGTGTTAACCCAGAGGCTTTTTGCAGAAGCAGGTTGAGGGTCTACCACGGGTGCTGCCATGCAGGCAGGTCCAGGGAGGAGGAGGTGGTCCCTGGCAAGAGGGCCGCTGGCAGCAAGCACTCCGCAGCACGTCTGGCTGCAGCTGCAGCCGTTTCAAACCGAAGCAGGGGCTTAGCAGTCACTGAGAGCTGGCTTGGCACGCATAAATACCCCTTCTCTTCAGAGATGCCGTTCTGACTGCCGGGTGTTGATGAGGAATTGCTGATTTCAGCCAGATCCTGAGCGGAGAGTTGTCCGGATGAGCCGACAGGCTGTGGAGTCATTACAGTGCCTGGTGTCTGGTCCGGGCCCACCTACCTGGGCCCTGCTTGCTCTGCCCTGAAGATAGGCAAGGAATTGCTTTCCCTAAGGCACATTTCCTTGGTGGAGGAGTGATGGCAAAGCCAGGAATTGTCCTGAAAGAAACCTAGCCCTCGCAGAAAAAGGCGTATTTGCAAAGTAGAATACCCTTGGGAGAAGCAACAAAAGAGCAGTCGTGCCCAAATCAGTGCCAGGCAGAGCCAAATGCCTTTTCGGAGGAGGTGAAGTGCAGCCTTTCAGATGCTAACTAGGTATTTGGGGTTTCGATGATTCGCTGTATGGAGGAATGGATGCACCATTGGCTCTAAGAGGACTTGTAATTAATGCATCAGCTTTTGCTGGCCCTTAGCGTTGGTGCCTTCTGAAATGGCAGGAAGGGGTCTGCGACTGTCTTGAGCCATGCCAGCAGGGACAGATAGAAAATTCAATAGGAGGCAGTTGGAAGGGACATTTCAGAGATCTACACAGCGGTGGGGAGATGGCTCTGCCCAGGCCCTCGGTGACTCACAGCACTCCCCTTAAGCAGAGTTTTGAAATTAGCATCTCTGCTGAAAAGCTCTTCCTAAGGCAGGACTTGTGTTTCAAGGTAAGCAATTTGCTGTGTCTTAATGGAACCGGAGAAGAACTTTATGCCTGGACACGATGCCTTTCCAGCAGTATTGCTGAACTTCCCTGTAAGACATTCTGATGTCATTTTTTTTTTGGTCTGCTTCATAGATTGGATTAATCAGCAGAGACACGCCCTCCGGGTCCCAGAGTTGGCTTGCTTTCATTAATTTGCACTCAAGTCTTTGCCGAACAAAGAAGGATTTGTTGAACAAAGCAGGGTCAGTGCTGGGATGAAGAGCCTTGTGCCTCTAGCCTGCTAGTTTGAATTAGGACTGAGCTGTAACTGTTAAGTCCTATGTCCTGTGGCCTGGATTGATAAAAATGTCCTGGCCTCAATCCTTGCTCCTGCAGAGCCAGCGACCTCAAGAGCCACCCCAAGGTGGTGGCCTTCGGGGCAGTGAATGGCCTCCCCAAGCTCCCTAAATGAGACACAGTCAGAAAGCAAGGGAGGGAAGGTTTGAGCAACTGCCGCTGAAGATAGAGGTGTTCATTTCATACCCTGTTTGCTTTAAAGGCTAAGTGCAGTCTCTAGGGGGAAAAATAACTTAAAGAATAGTTTTGTTAAAGGCAAAACAAGTCTATGAGTAGAGGCTTTTTGCAGGGCCAGCTCTTGGGAGAGATGCGTGGACCAGCTGCAGGCTGTGTTTCTCCAGGTGCCCCTCAAGTGGATTTACTCCTCTCTTTTTCAGCTCTTCGAGAACTTCTACTTTGGAGAGGTGCAGCTGGACTCAGTGCGTCTTTCCCAGAGGTTCTCCTCGGACACCTCTGGCTACTACGCGACGTCTGGGCAGCTGACCTTCTGAAGGGGTCTGCTCCGCGCGCAGGGGCACGCCATTCCTCAGGCAAGTGTTTTTATAGGACACGAATTTTGGATGGGAAGCTGGGAACTCCAAGCAGGGATGCCTTGTCACTCCTCGAAAGCATGCAGCAGCCAGGAACCGTGGCATTTCCCTGCAGCTTTTCCTACAAGCACTGCCTGCCCTACCTTTGGGGAGAACCAAGGTCCGTCACCTCCTTTCCCCACTGGTAACTGAAATGTCGCAGAGTTACCTGTTTGATGTCTCTTGCCTGTTTGTTTTCCAAGAAAACAACTAGAAAAACTGCTGCAGGTGGCTTTTGGGGCATCACCAGCGTTAAGTGTGGCTTTATTTCAAAAGACGGAAGTTTGTTCTTAAAATAAGTATTTAAAATCAGGAGAGCTCCCTGGAGCATGATTTAACGATATTGAGGTCAGGCATTGCTTGGATCTCCAGCAGCGTGCCTGTGTGATGTAGATCTCCAAATAAATGAATTCTCTTCAAAAGCAAAGTGTTTATCTCCTGTTGCATTGATAGTTTCTGTAATTAAACTTCCAGCACACAACTACATTGATAAGAAAGCATTTATGGTAAGAGCTCTTTCCAGTGACCGTTCTGGAGCGTGTCAAAAAACATAAACGCCTTGTGGGTGGTTTCTCCATTAAAAGGAGCACAAAACTCTTTGATACCATTGTGAATCCTTCAGAGATCTGAAGACAGCTGTTTTTTCTTGTCAGTCTCCACATTTGGTAGGAATAGCGACACAGGCTTTCAACTCACCCGAGGATGAACACTTTGAAAAATGGAAGATGCTGATGTTTAGTTGTTTTGCAACGACCTGGCAGTGGCAGTGGCTGCTGCTGCCCATTCCTGGCTGCTGCCGTGTGAGTGTGTTACCTAGGGCCAGGGCTGCTCCACCACCTCTTGTTTGTACTAGTCATCGGTTTTAAGAGGTTTTTCACCCTGTTTCCTCCCAAAGCGAGCTGACTGTGTGGCCGAGCACAGAGAGCAGTGGGAGGCAGTCAGAATTCGGGGTAGCTTTCCTTTTTTCCTCCAAACATGTTGCCGTTTGGGTTTCTGAAACCAAATTGCCCACATCTGCTTTCAAGCCTGCCTGCCAGGAAATCAAATCATCTGTGGTTTTGCTGGTCGCCCTTTACCCCGGAGCCCGTGCTTGTGCCCCATTACAACCGTTGAGGTTTCTCTCTCTGCCTTTCCTCGCAGCCCAACGCCTTTGCGCTCTCCGAGCGGAGGAGGCAGAGCTGCCGGCGAGACCATTGGCGAGCGGAGCACTGGTGCGCTCACGGGCAGCCCGGCGCGGGGCGGTGCTGAGGGCACTTCATGCCGGTTGCTGTCATCTTCCCACCAGCCTCAGGAGGTACTTGGCAAATCTCCTTCAGCTGCCCAAGGAACAGCCACGGGACGCAGGGATGTGCCTTGGAAGGCGCCTGCCTGCTGGGTTTAACCGTGCTCGGGGAGAAGCGGAGCACTCCAGAGCATGGGGTGCTCTTTGCACTCGAGTTTTCCTTAGCAGGATGTTGGTGGCGTTTCCTCCGTTGTCACTTAATGCTGGCGGTTCTGAGTTCCCCTTGCTGAGGCGGGTGCGTAGCACAGCTGGCTTTGGGACTGAGCCTTCCCGCCACCCAACGCCAAACGAACCTTGACCTTGCAAACAGCATCTCAGCACGGAGGCAAACGCAGCTTTTCTACAGAGAAGGGCCACTCTGAGGATACTCCCCTGCTTCCACGCTACCATAGACATGTTTTAAGGACAATTATTTCTGTGAGAGTTTGGAAGTTGGTTGAATTTCGGCGCTAAGCGGCTTATCCCACTGCTGTAGCCTGGCACGGCTAACTTTGTTTCACACCTCTGTCCCTGGGCAGAATTAAGGGTTCTGGTCTGTCCCTCTCCTCTGTGGAGTTGCAGGTTAGGCTGTGATCCAACAAACTGTTGTGCGTGGACTTAAATTTCCACCTCGCTTGATCCCTTTGTGTAACGCTAAGCACGCACATGAGTCTGGTGGAGCGGCAGCTCCGCTTCGCTGGTAGCGCTTTTGAAACGAGAGTGCTCGTTACAGAGACGAGAGGGGCAGAGTTGGGGGCTGTATCCCTTTACACAAGGGAGCTACTCGCCTAAAAAACACACCGACTGCTTTTTGGGGGGTTGGGGCCAGAAGAAAATGTACTGGGATGGATTTACCAAAGGTTTGCCCTTTTCTATAATTATTCATAAATACAATTAGAACAGTTTCATACCGAGCATGATAAAACTGTGCTTTGTGCATGGTCCTGCACCAACGAATTGAAATCCTGTTAAACCAGGCAGTGCTAAGGGTTGGCAAGATACAAACTAAGACTTTTAGAACTTGCCTAAAACTTGTTAAAACTGAAATCTGCGGCTCTGCTTCTTCCCCCCTACCAAGGCTGCGTTGGGGGGTGGCTGCCCCACCTGCAGATCCTGGTGTCCTCATCACTCCGAGGAAGAGAGCAGTTGTTCCGTGCCATTGTTTTGCTCACTGGAGCCCGGGTCGGGAGGGTGGCTCGTCGTTAACCATGAAGTTGAAAATAACACCCTCTTCTCTAAGCACAGCACCTGGAAGCTGTACTTCCACCCCCAGCAGCCTCACCTGGGGTCAGCATCACTGCTTTGGAGGTGGCGGGTGCACCTGCCGCGGGCTGTGGCCGCTGCTCTTCCCGAACAAAAAGGCAGCGCTGTGTTTTCTCTCCATCCCGTGCTTCCTCGCTGCAAGAAGGAAACCCATGTGTGTGCTGGGAGCGACCCGGCTCCGCCGGTGGTCACTGTCCTCCCTCGCCAGGCCCAAGTGGATGGAGGTGGCAGTTGGGAGATGT